ATTTTTCTTATTTTTACTCATAGAACGTATTGACGAAGTTTGACCGGAAAATCCTGTCTGTTGTTTAAATTTTTCTTTTCTCTCTCTCTTTCGTCTGTATTTAATTTCAATTTCGTCCGTATATAAATTTTTTTCTTTTTTTCCTTTATATTTCCATTAATATATTTATAATTGTACACTACCCGGTATTCTCTCCTTTTTAAGTAAGTTTCCACCTATTTCTTGTTATCATAGTATCAAAAAAATAAACAAATGGCTTAAAATTATCCTGACCAATTGACGTTAAATATTTTTCCTCATTTGCGAGCGTTAATATTCTTCATTTATTCGACGCAACGATGCTCTTCAGCAACAGGCGTCAATATCGCTCGAAAGAGCGTCGTGTCCATCACTAACGCAAGTACGCACACCTGTACGACTGTCGCAGAAGAGGTGGGTATCGGTGAGTCTACCTGCGGTCCGCACGTACGTGTGCCGGCGAATGGCGAATCGGACGCACGTGTGGATGTGCGTTTGCGCGTGTGCGAGCCGACGCTGACACGAATCAGCTGGAGCGACTTCTTTCCGCGCGATCCGCCGACCAGTTGGCGAAGTCGGTTCACCAGCAGAGATTGTACTTCGGATTTGAGGATGCGTTAATCGAGAGGAGCTTTCCTCGGGAGCGATTTGCCGTCTCCTTGAAGCGCCTTTTCAGGGTGGTCGCTCGTCCTGATTTGCGACGATCCACCTGCGAAAACCTGTCGCGATTAAAGGACTGCCGGCGGCCGAAGTGATCGAAGAACAAACTTCGAGCAAAAATAGCAATGTCATTATATGGGATAATATTCGAGCAATCGCAAACTGTTAATCGATTCGTATACTTTACGAGTAATTTGGAACAAGCAAATCATGTGCTAAATCTGATCAATTTTTTTTTAATGAAACTGGAAGTTGTTTAATCTAAAACTATTCGCAAAGGAAGTAAAGGATCTTGAGTGACGAGGAGAAAACCGCAAATTCAAACGATGGAAGACCCGGAGTATTTTTCGCTGGTAGAAATCTGATTTTTTACGGTTGAATGCGATCGATCGAATCAATTCATTTGAATCTACAAAAACGTGACGAATCGATCGGTCTCGCTCGAGTGGAAGATTCGCGCACGTGATCGGACCAAGCTGTCCCGCCTCAACATGACTTACATTCGGCCTATCCATAAATAAAGCGTCTAATTATAAATTCGGAGGAAATTACTCTCCCGTGCGTTTTTCTTTATTTATATACACGCACGCTATATATTTGCATGTATTCCTTAAACACAAAGTTGCGTCTTGCTCATTGGTAAAATATTCAAATCCAAGTCCCGACGGGGTTGAGATAAAAGAAGACAATTACGTTGATTGGTTGGCAAATTCGTTTGCGCGTTTTTCTCTGGACAGATCATCCATCAGGTTTTCCGTACATAATAGAAAATTAATCGGATGTGAGCTAAATTACGATTCGCAAAACACGGCGAGATGCCAAGATATTTTTGGTACGCGCGCATATATGCGACTTTTTTCCAAGGTCTGATATTACATCTGAAAGGTAAACTCCACCAACGCGCAAATATTGTCTGAAAGCCGAATAAAAAAACTCTGACGTTTCAGAAAGTGATCTCTCACAGAGGGAAAGTGTAATTCACAAAATCACATCCGGCTATAAACACGCAATTGCGTAAACACGGTTAATAATAAACACGGCGCGATACAGTCGTGCGAAATACATTCTGATTTAATGTATCTCGGCGCGATAGGATACGAAATGTTTCACTGCTGCATTAGAAAATAGGAATTTCTATACGCGTCGCGCACTGTGAAAAATGTTTGTTCTTTTCACTTGTATATACACAAAGGTATATACACCGCGTCCTTTAAGGCTGTCGCACAGTGCAAAGATTGACGACGAAATTCTCGTTGATATACAATTGATGTATTCGCGTGTATATTGTTATCTAAAATTATCTTTGAATTTCGTCACGACAAGCGCTGACGTTCAAACATAATTTTTTATCTCGGCACTTCGAAGTCAAGAACAAGGTTCGCAACGCCACTTCATTCGAGTAGGCGTATAATTCGAAGCTGTCATCGAATCTAAAAACTTCAACGACGGCTGAATTTTCTTCACGCATATTTTTGTTTTTATACTGAAAGACATGGAATATGTAGATAGATCGTTCATAATAAATAACTTATTTGATATATTTCCAAACTCTCCGAGAGTTCACTTTGTACCTTCAACAAAATCAATTATTTAAATCCGCATGTGCGGACACATAAAGTCGGTAGAATTCGAAAATTTTGAAACAAAAGAGTATGCCACTCCATCAACATCCGAGCGTTCGATGTTCCAAAATGATTCGAAAATTATCACATCACGCACAAACTTATCCGCCCATTTGAGAACATCTTTTACCTCGCACGATCGAGCGATTCTGCATCAGCGGTCCACGATAAACTGTCGGCGAAGAGTCGCACGTCGTCTCTCGGCGCTCCTCCGAAACCGCTCAAAATCTTCCCCGCACTACCGTCCTCTAAAAGCGAGTTGCAACGATCGCGAGTGAATTACAAACCGGTCAGGGCAGAAACGAATCTCGAACGTGAACTCGCCTATAAATTACACGCGATTGAATTAATATAATTCCGCGAATGCAAACCTTTCTCTTGCGCAGTATAGATATATAAATTTCATTGCCGAGATAAACAATTATTAAAACTGATGTTGACATCTTGTGACAACGGAGAGCAGAGGAAATATCTCGCGACTTGACAAAATCGCCCCGACACATCTGAAGGAGTACTTTTGTATTTCCTTAACAGAAATTTTGCCTCACCGGCTCGCGATTGACGCGGTATTAATTATCAGAAATCTACAAATCATGGTAAACAACGATCGCTCGAATGTTTAAAAAAATTCAGTAACGCGATACATCCAGCCGAGATGAAGAAATAATCAACCAGATACCTCGGAAAAACGGAACGGAAGAACAACCGACGTCACTTCAGGAAACACAACACGACATTGTTCTTGCTCAAAAGTGAGTAGTCACTCGTTTATTATTTCATCTCGATCGCTCATTGTTTTTTTCCACCCGCGCGTCGCGTTGAATGACGTCGGTTGTTGCATAAATGCAAAAAAAAGGAAGGAAATCAACGAGTCAACCGCGACTAACCGATGCTAACCGTGCAATTATTGATGCAGTTGGAACCGAATGACCCACCGGGGGGGGGGGGGGTTGTCACACGCACGTTGTCACGTCGAGGGATGGCAATATATCCGGATGTCGCGGGAGCGGCGCGACGCTGGCTCAATCGGATGCACGGCGCGGTTCGCAAGCGATTACTGACGTTTACGCCGCTAACCGGGAGACGAACACGCCGAAAGAAGTTACTCGGACTCGTCAAGTTGTCCAAGAATAGTACGCGCTCCCTCGTCACCCCTGCGAGCGAGGGGCAGGGGGTCGGTCTATATATACACGCACACGCGTCGGGCCCCCGTCGATCCACCCCCCTCGAGACGGACGCACGCGTGGAAAGAGCGGGTTTATATTCGTATATATGAAGGAAACAAAAGTGACACGAGTCGGGTCGCGCCCGCTGGCTGGCCTGACACTGACGAGGAAACTTAAACGGTCATTGTTACATGCCACGCACCGCGTAATACGCTCGGTGATATTAAATTCCGCCAGCCGGTGGTGCATCGGTGTGCTCTGCAGCGATAGCAGTTTCAGTGGTCTCTTCTTCGGACACTTCCTTGTTTCCTATGAGGAAGCGAGTCGCATTTCAGCGCGAGATTTCGCTTGAACACAAGTTGCGCGCGGATCAACGCTTAGATACAGCCAGCGTCTCGAACCCGGAGAAGACGTCTGAAAGATTAAAAACATCTTCTGCGTACCTACGCGAACGATTTGTTCTACAATCTTGTTGTCTGGGACGTATACATGACAATCTATACCTATAATCAGATGCATTGTTTCATGAGGAGATTTTCCGAAATGTTCAGGCGGTGAGATTGATCCAGCTTTTAGGATTTTACCTCTGAATAAAAATAAAGCTTTCTTCCACTCCCCTGAACATTTTTACATTTCGTGTTTTGCGCACATTGATTGACGTGTCTATCTATAAAAAGTGCGATCCATAAACGCGTGCCTTCTGAAAGGTAGAAGGAGTCGAGCTGGAACGCTTGTGTGTCGCGTTGAAGTCTTATGCTAAAAATCGTTGCCCATATATGGGCCGCTGTCGATGTGACGGGCGAACGTCGCAGCGCGCTCGCAGCGAGTTACCGTTTAGCTCTCCACAGAAAGAATTTCTACTTATAAAGACGCGCGGACCATACACGGCCAAAAGTCATGATTACGCGTCCGTTCCTTCTCATTACGCCATGTGCGATCTCGACGAGCCTTGAGCAAGCAGGATTCGACGGCAGTCTTCGATACATTCGACATGAGGATTATGCGCTCTGGCAAAATTCTGAGTTGTTCGCTCGGCAATCAGGCACTTGTTGAACATTTCAACGGTAATGCATGGACGGTTGGGAGCGATAAAAATTCACAGCCCTAACGAGTTCTAATTGTTGTCTTGCTGACGATACTTGACAATTGCAATCAAAATCATGCATGCATTTAAAAAAGACCAATGAGATACTGCATACGCCTGATTGTACAAAACGTGTAACTAAAATATGCAACAATGCTTTAAAAGAAGCATCCCACATTACAAAAGAATTTACACAAAGTATAAATATGTAACAAACACAAATTATTTTGCTCGTCCCTTCGACGCGCATTTTTTCTGAAAAATTGCATGTGTGTGAACTAAATCTCGTATTTAACAAAGTTAAGAAATTCACAGCATAAATTATAAAATTGATCGAAATTTGCCTACGACGAAAAGCTGAAAGAAATAACGAAAAGAAGAAAGATTTAAAGAATATATATATTTATTTCTTCCAATATATATATATATATATATATAGATCATTCCACATTCATCTAAAAACATAAATGTATTTACAAAATTAAAAAAGCATGTACATACAAAGTGACATGGTAACGTTATCAACTGCAACTGAATAATATAGCTGTTTGTGCTCGTTGCTCAACAACGATCTGCGAAAACAAATTGGGATTGACTGTGGAATAAATTATTAAATAAAATATTATAAGTAGATCAAACAGAATTTCGCATGCTACAACAGAATCGCTCAGTAAAACAAACACGGGGATCAACTGCAAAATGTATAAAATTCCTATAAAGATGATTAACTATTCGGAAATATTCGGCTATATGCTATTTTAAAAATAATAGCACAAATAATACCAATCTTCCCTCTCCCTTCGCGAACTCTGTATGGAATTATCGCTCCCTTATATTAAAACTACAAGTTTCCAGTCTTGAATAAGTAGTGAGTTGATAACGCGTATTATCAACACTATTACGCTTTCACAGAGATTACCGCTTTTTTCGCCGCCTCATCTAAGTTATTCGCTGTGAGAATTGGCAACCCCGATTCGGCTAAAACTTTTTTGGCTTCTGTCACATTAGTGCCTATAAAAAAGTAAAAAAAAAAACCAATAAAAAATACTTAAAATTTACTTAAAATACTTAAAATTATGAATAGAGTATTGCACAGAAACATAAATGAAAATAGGTGAAATTATACGAAATTAAATAATTCGAAACAAAAGAACTTACAAGAATTGAGTTTTTGTGTTTGTGTATGTGTGAGAAAAAAAGGAAGAATTGAGATATCTTACCTTCTAGCCTCACAACGAGCGGTATTTGAAGTCCTAAATTACGCGATGCCGCGATAATTCCTTTCGCTATTGTTGCACAATTCACGATACCTCCGAAAACGTTCACGAAAATAGCTTTGACTTTTGGATCTGAGGAAAAAAGAGGTTTGTTCGGATCTCACTTATATTTAAATCGATATTTTTATACTTTTACACTTTTACACGCATACCTTCACTGAGAATTCTAAATGCTTGGAAGACTTGGTCTTCTTTCACATTACCACCAACGTCTAGAAAGTTGGCAGGCGATCCTCCATTTAATTTGATGATATCCATTGTAGCCATGGCTAAGCCAGCTCCATTTACTATATGTGTGAAATGCATGATTTGTTACGTATATTTTTATTTATCAATTATATTATATAGATATTAATATTTGTAAAGAATTGCATAAATTATGACATGTGTAACTTATTGTTATTTCACAATTTTTTACTCCTCATTCGTTCATATTATATCACTTAGAATATGTTATTTTATCGTAATAGACAATAAAATATGTTTTTACCTAAACATCCTATATTGCCATCCATGCCAATGTAATTTAAGTTAAAACGCGATGCATCCACTTCGCGAGGATCTTTTTCGGTAACATCCTCCAACGCAAACAAATCTTGCTGCCTAAATTGAGCATTATCGTCGAATGCGATTTTCGCATCTACTGCTATAACTTGCTTGTCTTTCGTCTCCACCAATGGATTAATTTCAACCTGAAGTGCGTCAATGTCCACGAATAGCTTCCATAGATTCTTCAATTCGTATATGGCTTTATCCAGGATATCGGGATCAGTGAATCCCAAGAAGATGCTCACATCTTTCGCTATGGCATCGTTAATTCCGTAATAGATATCCAACGGAACGGTTTTGATCTGTTCGGGATTCTTTTCTGCCACAGTCTCAATATCCATACCACCGGCGGGAGATGCTATCAATACCGGACCGTTATGTGCTCGATCCATGAGAATACAGACATAAGTCTCACGTGCAATATCAACTGACTCGGCGATCATAATTTTCTGCACTGGTATGCCATCTTTCGAGGTTTGTTTAGTAATAAGCCGATGACCAAGCATATTCTTCACATAATTGGAGACAGCATTGCGGCTACAGAAAGATCAAAGAAAAGAAATAAGTTGTACAAACATATTGTCATACATATAGTTACAACTATTATCTATATATCATATATATAAGAAAAAATATTTTTAACTGGGTGGTATCTTGTAATAATACAGAAACAAAATTCCTAGTACTTACTCTCTGGTAAGGTGTACACCTCCTTTAAATCCATTATCAAACCAACCTTTACCACGACCACCAGCTAAGATTTGGGCCTTAATTACATATTCACCCTCATCTATATATATATATATATATATATATATATATACACATGTATAAACAGATTCATATCTCAAAATTATTAATGCATATTCTTTTCAATAATAACTTGCAAAGTTTGATAAAATAATATAACAGTATTACGAGGTATCATGTATATATGTGTGTATGTGTATATATGTTCAAGCATGTACAACTTCCATGTATTCAAATTCAAAACAATCAAATAATGTAACTAGTAACTATTCTGATTTTTTATTTGCTCTGAAATATTCAGTGTATATAGTTATGTCTGGCTTAATCAAAAATAATTCTATGAACATATTGAAACCCATTCATTCATATTCTTTAACAGGAAAATACACGCTAATTCTGAAAAGCAACACTGAGAACATAGCTCTTATATCATAAATCAATATAAATATAAAAATGAACAAAGGATAAGAAAATAGAATATAGAACAAAATAAAAAATAAAAAATTCTGGCACTCACGCAACTTCTCCAAGGCGGAATTCGTCTTGGTTAAGTCATCGACGATGGCAAAGTTTTGCACTGACACGCCACAGTCACGTAGAAGTTCTTTGCTCTGATACTCCAGTAGATTTAAATTTCTCGTGCTCGACACGCAAACTGCCTCTATGCTTCTTCTGAAGAGATGCGTCGAGCGCATGGAACGGCCAAGAACTCGCAGCATGATTGATAACCTGTAAAGTTCCGTCATGTCGAATTAAAAAAAAAAAAGAGAAAAATAACATTGATGCTGTACGCGTAAATCGCGACAGATGTTAACTTAGACAACTAATTACATACCGTTGAAAAGTAGTACATTCACAGTTGTTCCTTGCCGAATATCGTTATCTTGCTTGCAAAAAGTTTTAATGAGATAAGTTCTGCTCTATCTAGCTGAACTTTCTGCACTAGTGTAACATATCAGTACCCGTAAAATTTAAATTGGTTGACCTATGAGTACAGTTCACATCTTTTTTATGATAACGCTATATAAATATTAATAAAAATACAGGCGCAATAGATACATTAAAAATACAATTAAAGATCATACTTCTCTTGATCATGAAAAATAGACAAAATTTGATAAGTTGTAACTTCCACAGAAATAATAGCAATAAGATAGTCTAAGAAGAGATTGTTGTACACACAGAAGAGATACAATATACTATATTTTTATTTTCTTGTATGCTTGATATAGGCGCAGGACAATAGATATTAACGACATGTAAATATGTTTTTTGTATTTTATTAGAATAAATTATATAAAATAAAGTATAGCAATTGCTTTTTTCTTCCTCTTATCAGAGAAACGAATGTTACAATTTTTCAATTGTTAAGATTAAAATAAGACACTTCTTAGAGATGTTAGAAAATTGAGAATTGCAACCGACAATTGCAGCAGTCGCTTCTTATCATAGGAGCACAATAGCTGTAATATAATCTTCTAAATAATGTTACGTTATCTAGATATACATGGACGGACTATTACGTCGATTAATGTACATTGTATATATATACCTTAACGACGAATATATATATATATAATTTTCTTGTCAGAAATTTATATATGTTTTCTTCTATAACTCTGTCATTCGAGATCTCAATCTCCTTTATTCATGCAGATTTAACTGTATTTATTGCTGCGTATATTCTCACTGACTAAAACTGCGTTTAAGTATCGTAACTATATTTTATCATTGTGCTGCTAATTTTTGGCAAATCGGTAGACAAAGCTCTCTTACATAATACACTAATAATAGTATTATATTCTTGTACATAATATTGATCTCTCTTTTGTTAAATACCAATTTAACAAATATCTATGCTGAAAGATAGATGCAAAATTATGCATCTAATTTTAAATATTACATGTGATTTGTCATTTGACTTTATCCTCCAAATATAACATGGTGTACAGTAAAATTGCACAACTCTTGAATTGTAAACCTTAACAATTTTATGTTAATAAAAAATACCTGTAACTAAATTATTATTAGAAATTATTATTAAATTACTATCAGAAGGTTGAATCAGTTTTGATCCTTAACAATAGATGGCTTTAGTAATAAGTTAATGGTTAGTATGAATGTGGAAATTTAGCAACACTGAAAGATTTGACATTTCTCTATGACATATGACAGTTTGTGCACTATTGTTACTGATAGTTTTATTGTTTATACGCTAAATCTAAAATGGATCATATAAAATTGCATTTTCGACATTCATTTTCATTTTGACCTGTTTTGTTTGATTTGAAAAAATCAGCAACTGAAATGCTTGTTACAACTTATGGTGATTAAGCTCCATTCAACGGCGGCGCCAAGAGTGAGTCTGAGTGGGTCCTAGCCTATCTAAAAATACGCTGGTCCACTCTTTGGCCCACCCTAAAATTAAAAAAAATTTTAAGATAATTATGCTATCCTATTCCGTCCAAGTTCTCAGCTTTTTTATATGGCTTTATAAATATGGCCCACTCATATAAACGCTGGCCTACCTGTGGCCTACCCGTATGAATAGTTCTGGCGCCGCCTATGGCTGCCATCGTATTCCAACTATAAATTTTAGTTTCAACGATTCAAAAGTGATAATTTCGATTTGAGTGACAAAGAACATACTAGTCAACCAAAAAAAATCCGAAGATTTTGAATTGCAAGCATTATTGAATGAAAACACCGCTCAAACGGAAAGACAATTGGCTGAACAACCCAACGTTGATAAATCAACAATTTCTAAACGTTTACACACCATTTGAAAGACAGTTCTATCGTTCTATCGTCGCGGAATCGCTTTGTTGTCAGAAAGATGGGAAAAAGTCACAGCTAACGACGGAAAATATTTTAATTGATGTAAATTTAACCATTTCTTTAAAATAAAAATAAAATATTGATAAGATAAGACCAGAATTAATTCAACCTCCTAATACGTTTGAAAATGCCTGGAATGCGTTCGTGTTATGTGCTAAAATATGCTATTCTATAATACTTAATTGCGCTTATGAGATTCTATGAAAGTAATAAAATACAACAGTACAAAGAAATATACTGTCGCATCCTATTACTTTATGTACACAATGATTAGTTGGATAAAAAGATACGATACATTGTTCGCATACTTAAGTTACCATTTGTATATATGCTAAAAAATTATAACGAGTATTTTTTCTATCGTACATAAAATAAAGATTGCTCTCCACGAAGTTACTACGAAGACTGTGTTATATTTAGTGTTATACTTCGTGTCATACACGAAACAAATCAATTTCAGTCTCTTCTTAGACTCGTATAGTACCATGGTTCTTCTTATTAAAAAAATTGTCAAAGTTTGCAGCTAAAGAATTGTGAGATAAATTTCACTATACAGGATGTATAAAAAGTACCGGGACGATGAAATATCACAAAAATTAAACATTTTAGAAAAAAATGTTTCAAATAAAAATTGTAGGGTTTTAAACGATTTACTGACATTATGAGTTTAATCTTGGGTGGCATCGTCAAGGTTAGAACAAGGTTACTTCAAATTTTTTAAATGGAACCCCCTATTTTTTATTGTATATTCTTATAGCCTTTCTTCAGATCTTTTCAAAGCACTATAATTTTTTCCATTTTGAATAAGCCGTTTCGAAGTTATCGAGCTTCTTATGATAAGATATCTAGCCAGCGGCTGGAGCAATTTCGTGACTTGTATTTCAGACACATGTAATATTAAAAAGTAATACTAATGTAATAAATTTATAACAGCACTAAAATTCACCTTCGAGGAAATACACGTAGCAATAAATACAATTAGATTTGAATGAATAAAAGAATGAATAAAATACTTACACTTTTTTTTTTTTAATAAGGACTATGGTACTATTCCTGTTTTAGCCTTTCTGTTTTTAGAACACTGTACAGTTTTACGGCCATTAACTGTTATTATATATATATATATATATATATGTATACATATATATATGTATAATTTTTATAACTCATAGAAATTATTGTACAGCTACTTAGTAAATGTGTTACGACTGTACATACATACTATACTATATATAGTCGTAAATCCGTAAGAGCAACAATAAAGAAATCCCCAGACCAGTATTGAGAAATGTAGTTCCAGCGCCGCTTCTGAAGGCTTCCGGGTCGCCCATTTGGAAAGTGTGCGTCGGACTGGACATTCGGCCGTCGCCACCATTGCTGAATGCGAGAACTCGCAGGTTGTAACCTTTGCCCGGACTCAGGTTCTTGATATCGGCTTCCAGCTTCGAACCACCGGGTATAATAGTATCGTTGGCAGTACTCATATCGCGATCTCTGTCCCACACCCGAATCTTGTATCCTATCAATGGTTCTTCCTCCAAACTGGGCTGCACATAACGCCAGACTACTCTCACCGTCGACGGGTTCACACCGTACACGTTTACCGAGGACGGTGGTTTCTGAGGCGCCTTGCGATAAGTTCTCTCCAGGAACCGCTCGCTCTCCGGACCTTCTCCAGCGGAATTGTAGGCCATTACCTTCGCAGAATTCATAATCTTGTTCATCTTGTCTCGCTTAAACTTACTAATTTTTAATATTCTCCTCCCAAGTAGCTATTTTGATAATTAAATCTTGACTTATCTTTTAAAGTTATTAATATTATAAATTATAAATTAATATTATAAATATAATCAATCTTTTCCAACTAGTTTCTTAAAAAGAAATTCCTCAAATTTTGTAAATGTTTATATAGATGTAAAACCGGAATAAAAAAAGAATTATGTAGTTTCTTTTCTGTACCTTGACAAAATAATAAGTATCTGGCTGCAAACCGACAACCAGAGACCAAGGTCGCGTAGTACGCGACAAGTAGTAAACGGCACCCTCCTCGGGAAAGTTGTTCTTCCAGTACTTGATCCTATGACCAATCAGCTTGCCTCGTACTCGCTCGCGAGTCTGCTCGATCGGCGACCAGCTGACATTCAAGCTAGTGCTGTTATAACTCATGGCGACTACTAATTGCGGTGCGACTTGTGGCATGTCCTCCGCGCTGTAGACCGTGTATATATCCGAGATAGGACCCGCACCTAGATCATTGATTGCCTGTACCTTCACTTCGTATTCCGTGTAATAATACTTTGACTGGACCGACACGACGCTCATGCCAATATTGCCGAACTCCTTGAGCGACAACGACTGGAACTGCGTCTCGTGTCCCTTGCGACGCCAGAATATCTTGTAATAAATTCGAGGACCGTTCTGATCAGACGGACTGAGAGGATCCCACGTAATCGTGAGGTCACCAATCTTTCCACCACCACCGCTGATGTTCGACGGTGCTTTAGTGGGTTTGTCGGCCAGAGTGCTGTGTCGAGGTGAAGGAGACGACGGTGGCCCGTAACCGAACTCATTGAAAGCCGATACGCGGAACTCGTACGAAGAATAAGGATTCAAGACATTTTCCAAGTGTGCTTCTTTTCGGCCGATGTATCTGTCCATTTCAATAGCCGTAATATCTGAAAATAATGTGCTTACATAAAGATTTTGCATGCAAAGCAGACATGACGAAGCTTCGAAAGTACCTTCAAGAGAGACGAATCTAAGAAGTCATAATAAGAGTTATTGAGATAATCTTCATGAGGAATAACAATGATTAGTGACATAAGCAATGAACGGAAACTGAAAGTCTGCTTACTTTCTACAACAGGAAACCACGTGTTGTTCCATTTTGTCCGCGCCTCGACTCTATACATCGTTATCAGTCTACCGTTTAGCGCGCCATCAGTCCACCGTATCGTAGCAGAAGTTTTCGCAACGTTCATGACCAGTATTCCACCAGGTGGTCCTGGTGGGCCCTCCACGATCAGTATAGTCTTACTCGATATTTCGCCAACGGCGCTCTTCAACACGCATTCGTAATCGCCTGTCTCGACGAACGTTGCGTTTATAATGTCCAGATATTCGCCATCAACGCGTATTCGCGGGTTGTTCATTAAGTCCTTATTACGGATACGCATGCCATTATGCTTCCAAATATATGCCATGTCTAACATCTCGTCTGCGTAGCCCAAACAGCGCAAGGTCTGATTCTGATTGTACGACATGATTATTCGGGTCGGCAACCTTTCGATAAAATACGGTGCGCCTGTACAAGCAATTAATCTCACTGAACAAATCTCTCTCTTCCGAAGGTTAATTTCTTTTATACTATAGTTGTATATAGTTATTACTTCTCATAGTTATATAACATTTCTCAAATTCCCGTAAAACCTTCACAGTTTTAAATGCATGTAAATATTAAATATGTACACAAGAATAAAGATTTTATATATTCATGCACGAATATTACCACAAATATGAAAAGGAATAATATACAAAAATTATCATGTACAAGTTAAAACCTATCTAAAATATCACATCAACTCACGTAATACAATTAGCCGTCCACGAGTTTCGTCTTGACCGTACTCGTTCGTTGCAACACATACATAAGTTCCTTCATCATCTCTTGACACTGGACTAATGATAAGGTTCCCGTTCACAATTCTTCGTCTACCGCCCGCTCCGAGAGTAGTCTTATCTTTCCTCCATTTGAAATCCGGTTTGGGCGCGGCTTCGGGTTTGCACATAAGTGTAACATTACCTCCTTCTGCCGCATATGTCTCAGATTCCATGGGCCGTTTTTTGAAAGACGGTTTCAATGCTGAAATATTCAGGAAGAGGAAATCTCTCGATAATTCAACTGTTCTGTGTGCGTCAGATCGAAGTGGAATCTTAAAAGGGATAGGAAAACTCACATAATACTCTCAACTGAGCCGAAGAGTACGTTGTCTTCAGCTGATTTTTCGCGCAACATTGATACATAGCTTCATCCCTCTCAGGATTAAGACCCTTTATAGTTAATACATTATCCTGTATAATGTAGCGGTCTCTGTCTTCAGGCGGTAAAGTAAACATGTCAAAAATTTCTCCGTTTCTAAACCAAGTATAGGTGACGTCTGGTAAGCCGAAGGCCTCGCAGGTCCAAGTTAGATCTCCCTTGTTATCCATGTGTTTGTCTACCAACGGGATGGTGAAGGTAGGCTCCGCTTGTATGGTTAATTGCACGGAATTCTCAATCGATAATTTATCGTTGTACGCTCGACAAACATATTCGCCTTGATCCTCCACGCGTACTCGTGGTATTATTAACACCCGATCGTAACTCGTTGTGTACGCTTCACGCGGTAAAGTAAGGTCTTTTAAATTAGAGTCTTTTCTCGTCCAATTGAACGATGGAACAGGACTGTAGGCGTAAATCAGTTGTTACAATCATAACAATTTATGTATACGCAAGAAAAATAGGACAAAGAACATATTAAATCTGACAAAATTGAATTTCTTTACATATTTGATATATCAACAATAAAACAAAACAACGCAGTGTGTTTTGAACTTACTATCCAAACGCGATGCATTCCAGTCTAACTTCTTCTCCGGCTATCGGAGCTTCCGGGAATGCTTTTGGAAAGTTGTTGGGAAACTTCAACTGTTGAAATGAAGCTATAAATGAAAAATGGATAACGTTACTTATTATTTTGCTGTTAAATATGTACACGCATGAGAAATAATTCTTAGGATAATTACAGTGCATGTCCACTCTTAAGGGGAAAAACGGTCCATTACGTCCAGTATCGGATGCAACGCTTTGAACATTGCATGAATAGTTCCCTCGGTCAATCGTTTCCAACGCGGAGAAGTAAAGAGCACCATCATGTGAAACAAACACACGTTTGTCCTCTTCAACAAAATTAGGAAAATAATCGCGTGCCCAATAATATTTCACTCCAGGGAAATGTTGTGGTGGATCGCAATATACTGCTTTACCCCAATGATTATCTCCCCGTTCTTCGGAACGTTTCAAATTAAACTCTAGAATATATCCAAATGAGAGCTCAACGCTCTCGGATATAATTATACCAAATTTGTTAGATGCCTTGCAATGATATGTGCCACGATCTATTTTCTATAAAGAGCATAATTCATAAATAATAGACAATATATAAAAATATAACTATCGTGTCGTTAATGAAATGATTCATGCCCAATAATATATAATACATTTCCATAGATTAGAACAATAAAAAAACTTTTACCTGTTCTGGCTCATAGATGATCAATGTTCCACCACTCACGGTATATCTGTTATTTGAAATAGGATCAATTTTTATTGCAATAAGTCTATCATTTTCATAATTTTCCTTGAACCATTCATAGGTTGGTGTAGGATAACCTCCTGCGAGACAACTCAAGTAGACATCATTACTAATTCTTTTTTTTGATACATCAAACACTTTGCTTTTAGGTTGTTTAATAAAATATGGCCCTCTGGGTATCTCAAGAGGATTATAAATCTCAATACCATACTGGTAAGTACGGTCATCCTCCACTAAATTGCGAAGAGCAGCAATAGATGCTTCACAAATGTACAAGAGCTCATCCAAGCCTGTAACCCTTTCCAATCCCCAACGATTGAGACTAATGCTAAAGGAATATGCTAAGTAGTCTCTTATTATATTGTCATTAGGTTCAGGCAAAAAGATACTATCCAAATTTATCAAGTTTGTACTGTCAGCCTCATTTATCCATATACCATTTTGTTGCTTTACACCAATATACCATCTGTGATGATGATATTGATCGTTGTCCCGAAAATGTTGGATTACAAATCCATGCTCATCCACTGAATTAATAGTCAGCAAATCACTCTGAAATGCTTGACAATTTTTGCGTGCATTTTCTCGTGATCTCAATGGACTGTTGATAAACCGATAACATGATTGTTGGAATTTTATCCAGTGCAGGGGGCACTGGTAAGTTGATTCTTCATAAAAAGTACTTTGTGCATATACAGGCAGTGATAAGACTAGGGAAAATACCACAACACATAATAGATAAGACATCATAAAGATATCCTGTAACAAAAATTTTATAATTTTTAAAGTGTGATACAAAATATGAATATTAGTTTTGACATTAACTCTTTAGCATCGTTATGGAATATAAATATGGAATATAACTGCAGAAAAGAGAAAACAAATAATTTATTTCTATAGTGGAAATTCTAAAAATATAATCCATACAGTATATCATAATTATCATGTTTCAATATATATTTACTCAACAAATCGTTTTCCTCTTCGATACTAGTTATTCAACGATTAAATTATTGCAGTTCTATTTAAATTCAGCTCTCAAGAGACACTCCTCTAGTAGCCATTTTGTTGACATGTGCCCCCAGCTTACTTTAGAATACTATAATTTGAATAAAACATTCACCAACAATAAACGAGAATATTAAAGTTTATATACTCACTATAACTCATATGATGAAATTGGCGAATTGAGCTCTTGAAACAGGTAGAAATAAAAAATGCGAAATAAAAGCACAAGCGTTACGTTACAAACGCGACGCTACATCGCCGGACACTCCCGTACCGAATGATGACGAAGATCGACGAATACTGACGAATTAGTTAAATGCACATACATATGCACACATAGCATATTTATATGTGTCTATCAAGCATCTGGAAGCACGTAAGGTCTTTTTTAAGATCATACATATATATACGCATATAAATGCTTAAGTGACTCATTCAACGCTTAATGGATGGCAATTAAAACGTGATCAGTGAAATTCTCAGATGTGTAGGAATTCTCTTTATTGTGTGATGACTAACTGCACATAAGAAAGAAAGGGACAGAAAAAGAGAGTCTACTGGTTAAAGAAAGTGGTATGCCAAGAAGTACGACTCAACAATATATCAGACGAGAGAATTTTTATTTTTAGTAGCACGATTAAACATTAGTGAGGATAAAATAAATGTTTTCCTTTATTAATACTGCGAAATAAAAGTTCATCAAATTTGCAAGATTTATTTGACATTCTGTTTAATTGTTTATTTATTTTTTTAGATTTTTCATTAATAACAAGCGTAATATATATAATTGCATATATATAATTTGCAGTTAGAGTATTTATTTGTGATAAAAATTTAAATAAAAATCTTGAATACAATGCAGTATTATTCATACAAAATTTTGAAATTACCTCCTGTTCACTTGTAATGTTTCATAGCTTCACCGCTAGGTGACGTTAATCTGACCTAAACGAGTTTATGGTCGCCGATCTGTGTTGCGTGTCGATGATGGTGACTCGCAAATCGTCTTGAGTGATTTTGGTTGGTTCTAACCCGAAAAACTGTAAAATTGAAAGAACCGTTTTTCTATTTCCTGTATTCGTTGAAAGAACATCTAAGTAAAATGCCGGAAAGTACCAAGACAGAAACAAAACCGGTAAAAGAGACAAAGAATGGGAAGGAAGACGATAAAAATGAACTGGTGAGAGATAATAACCTGCATGGACGAAAATGGTTGATACTGTAACATTATTATTGAAAAAGAACACTTAAATTAATCAAACTTCATAATTCATACGTCAGTACGAAATAAAATAATTGACTTGTATTCTTGCACTTCTGTATTATATATCTTCAAATAATATCTGTTTTTTGTTATTAGTTATCTTGTAATTTTTTGTCTAAAACTACTAGACAGTAGGTCAGTTTTGTTAGATTTTATGATTACTTTTGTACTTTTGTATTACTCTTGTAAAACAAAATGAAATAGAAAAAGTATTTGAGAAGCTACATTAATTAATTAGAATGGTTACTTATATATTTTGACAACAATGAAAGGTCATTCTTTTCTCTTATATAGATAAGAACAAAGAAGAAGAAGAACAAAGAAAAAATATGGATTTTTTGTTCTCATTTTTCATTTATTTTTGATATTATTTGGCTCCTATTAGTTAAGATGTTGGTTCCATGTTTCTTCTTTTATATTTTGTAAAATGTTATCCTAGAATAGAATAAACTGATTTTTATACCCTTTTCTATTTTATATCGGAAAATTGATTTTGGCTTTCAGTCTGAAGAAGATAAGCTTCTGCAGGAAGAATTAACTTTGCTGGTAGAACGTTTGCAAGATGCCAATACTAAACTGCATTATCCTGCTTTGGAATCCTTGCGTTCACACATTCGTGCATCAACAACGTCAATGACCAGTGTCCCAAAACCACTAAAATTTATGCGACCGCATTATGACACCATGAAAAATATCTACGAGAAAATATCCAACGTGAAATCAAAGGAATTATGTTCCGACATTATCTCAGTTCTAGCCATGACTATGGGCGAAGGTCGAGAATGTTTAAAGTACAGACTAACAGGCTCGGCACTAGCTATAGGTGAATGGGGACACGAGTACGTTAGACATTTATCGGGAGAACTAGCGGTGGAATGGGACGAAGTGACGACGGATAATATGGAGGCAATGAACAAAAAGCTGATTGCTCTGGTGCATGAGATCGTGCCGTACAATATGGCGCACAATGCAGAGACGGAAGCATGCGATCTGCTAATGGAGATCGAGAGGCTTGACCTGCTGGAACAATATGTCGACGAGAGTGCATATCAACGAGTATGTCTCTATCTTACAAGTTGTGTGCCTTACGTAGCTGATCCGGAGAACAGCACTCTTCTGCACGTTGCCTGCAAGTTGTACCGTAAATTCGGGCAGTATCCGCAAGCGATCAGACTGGCGATGCAACTCAACGATTTACCTCTTGTTGAGTCCATTTTCACAAACTGTAGGGACCTGTAAGTATGATCTTCCGTAAAATTTATAGAAAGTCCATAATATTTTACGGAAGAAAACTTCCGGTTGGGACCATCCGATACGCATACTACTAATCGTTGCTACTTTCCACGCGGAAACTAACAAAGAACTAATAACTATGTATATCTTCCAGTTCCGTGCAGAAACAGTTGGCCTTTATGCTGGGCCGTCAGCAGATCTTCTTGGAATTACACGAAGCTACGATAGAGGATGACGATCTTTTCGAGATAATGTCTAATTCTCACTTGAACAATCATTTTCTCAACTTGGCACGTGAATTAGACATAATGGAGCCGAAGACGCCCGAAGACGTGTACAAATCTCACCTAGAGAATTCTCGTCCGCCGTTCGGCGGTGGTCAAGTCGACTCGGCGCGACAGAATCTCGCGGCTAGTTTTGTAAACGGCTTCGTAAATGCCGCATTCGGCCAGGACAAGCTGGTAATAGAAGACGGTAACAAGTGGCTGTATAAAAACAAAGAACATGGTATGTTGAGCGCCACCGCATCACTTGGCTTGATTCTATTATGGGATGTCGATGGTGGTCTGACGCCGATAGACAAATATCTGTATTCCACGGAAGATTACATCAAGTCAGGTGCTTTGTTAGCCTGCGGGATTGTCAATTGCGGTGTGAGAAACGAATGCGATCCCGCGTTAGCCCTGCTCTCCGATTATGTGTTGCACAGCAGCAACACAATGCGCATTGGCGCGATCGTCGGTCTCGGTATCGCGTATGCCGGCTCCAATCGAGAAGCCGTCCTAGGTCTGCTGACACCGGTTCTTGCTGACGCTAAGTCGAGCTGGGAGGTAATAGGTATGACTGGTCTGGCGTTAGGAATGGTCGCTGCCGGCTCATGCAACGCTTATGTTACCACAGCAATCATGCACACGTTGATGGATAAATCAGAGAACGATCTCAAGGATACGTATGCGCGCTTTTTGGCATTAGGTCTGGGCCTGTGCTTCTTAGGGAAGCAAGAAGCGGCGGAAGCGATCATAGCAGCCTTGGAGATCGTCCACGAGCCATTCAGGTCTATGTCTACGACACTAGTGGAAGTATGTGCTTACGCCGGTACGGGAAACGTCCTCAAGGTACAGCACCTGCTGCACATCTGCTCGGAACACTACGAGCCGAGCAACGAGAAAGAGGAAAAGAACGAACGCAAGGATAAGGATAAGAAGGAGGAGAAGAAGGAGGAGAAGGAGAAGGATCTCAGCTCCAGGCAGGCCATCGCCGTCCTCGGCATCGCCCTGATCTCCATGGGCGAAGAGATCGGCGCCGAGATGGCATATAGAACTTTCGGACATCTGTTGCGCTATTGCGAGCCCGTGATTCGCCGCTCAGTGCCGCTCGCTCTGGGTCTCATCTCTGTGTCGAATCCGAAACTGAACATCTTGGACACGTTGTCCAAGTTCTCGCACGACAGCGATTCCGAGGTGGCGCATAACGCGATATTCGCCATGGGTCTGGTCGGCGCCGGCACAAACAACGCGCGCTTGGCTGCGATGCTGAGACAGTTGGCTCAGTTCCACGCTAAGGACCCCAATAATCTTTTCATGGTGCGCATAGCGCAAGGCTTGACGCACTTGGGCAAAGGCACGCTCACGCTTTCGCCTTATCATAGCGACCGGCAATTGCTGAGTCCCGTTGCTCTCGCTGGTCTCTTGTCGACGCTTATCGGCTTCTTAGACGTGAAGAACAGTGAGTATATGCTCGATTGCCTATAATACTACGTTGCTTAATCGAAATCTAAATGAATCTTTTTTCACTTCTTTTTGTAAGATTATGAAACTTTTTTCGTTTTCTTTTTTTTTGTAGCCAATCAGAGATCTATGACTGTCCTTACAACAAATAAAACTTGATTTTAAATTCTATGCTTAAAGTTTGATTTGCCTGCTACTAATGTTGTAATATTCTTTCAGTCATCCTCGGACGCTCGCACTATCTCTTGTATACACTGGCCGCCGCGATGCAGCCGAGAATGCTGGTGACGTTTGATGAGGATTTAAATCCGCTGGCAGTCCCGGTGAGAGTCGGACTTGCCGTTGATGTGGTTGGTCAAGCAGGTAAACCGAAGACCATCACCGGCTTCCAGACGCACACTACTCCTGTGCTATTGGCATACGGCGAGAGGGCGGAACTCGCCACGGAAGAGTACGTACCTCTAACGCCGATCATGGAGGGTTTCGTAATATTAAGAAAAAATCCGGACTTCATACCTTAGTCATAATAATTTTTCTCGCCAATGTACCTCATGTTAAATTACTTATGACTTAAGACGAAATTAAATAAAACGTATGTTAGTGTTCCCTTTGCATATGTGAAAGTTTCTAAAATAGATGCATATACAAATGTCCTTTTTTCCAAGTCCTTTCTGTAGGATTAATATACGTTCTACGATTTCTCGTTACAATACACGCTCTATTAAGGGAAATGAAGCGGCAATGCGTTTTTTTATTTGATAGTAAAATATTGATTTTAATAGCAAAAAATATTGATATAATGTATAAAATCTTATTACACATTTCTCAGCAAAAATTTTGTACACAATACATATCATAAAAAAAGATTAGATATAAAACGTTATGTTGCATTTTTGGCGATAATAATACATCGGTAAAAGTTAGCTTTTTCTATAAGTACCAGTCAAGAATACGTATTTATATACACCACGAGCGCATATGTTATAAATTATACCCCAATGTTTTCTATGTTTTTACTGATAATTGAGAAAATCGTAGAAACAAAGTCCTTATTATGATCACGTGTTAAAATATGCATTGCGCGAACATACGCGTTATATGAATGAATATATCGTACACATCATGTCAGTAAAACAACATCTTAATAATAAGAGTTTAGGTAATCCTTTGTAAAAGCTTGTATTATAACTACCAAAAATAATGTAATTCTTGTTCGTCGCAATTGCATAATTTAGTTTTAATAATGTGTCTATAAAAAATACACGTATATATCTTAAAAATATTTAAACATTACGATACCTAGCTCATCTTTTGTATCGATAGCGTAATCAACCTCATATCAATAAAAGTCATAATTTACACACCTATGTGTAATATACTGACTCCTATTGAATGATGATTCTCAATATTTTTGTTATAATAATCGCCATGTGCAATGATGAAATTACGTTTCTATATCGAATCTAATACTTAAAAAGAAATCATAAATATAAAAGATAACGTAGATTCTGTGGCCTATATTGTAACGGCACATTTTTGCGTTAAATGTATCCATCTGATTCTAAGCCCTGTCGTGTGTAAAACTTATATTATTGCAGCTTGAGAATCAAGAGAGCACATCTAGTAAATGTGCGATCAGAATACGGACATGTATATACAGTTTTGTAAAGTTACTCTCACCGCTCACAAACTTCTATCGCATTTTGGCACTGTTACTTGTTTCAATCATGATAAGTACGCAAAAAAAAAAAAAATAGACAGAAAATGAAAAAGAAAATGATGTTTCTAGGAATAAGTCATGGAGTTACAGTTAACTGCCAGCAGTCTTATAATCCTACTTATAAACAAAAAATTATAAACAAAAAAGAAAAAGAAGAAAAAAAACTTAGAAAAAATAAATCTCCGCTTTTGTTTCTTACTATTATTACTATTATAGGCTGAATTATATGTGACTCAATAGCGATATATGATGGCAGTATTTCGGACAGTGAGCTAAAGTTTACTCATTCTCTAACAAAATAAAAAGTCGCTACCAATAGCGCTAATATTTCTCGTTAACGTCATTTTTCTATAATCAACAATAATAACGATACGATCTTATTTAAATCTCTCAACTTACATTACTACGATTGTATATAGCACCTATTTGAATATATCGTTACTATCTCGCTAACTTCTCGTCACGTTATAAAATACTACTTGGCAAGCTGCAATATTTACTTATAGTAAAATAGCATGTTTTTACACAATTTCAAGTCGTACGTTAGCAATTAAAACTGCGTAGATAATTCACCCTACTGTAGTGTAATTATCTACTGTAGTACTAAAGTACTATCGTACTTTATATTAAGTCCCTTGTTCAACGTAGCTACCTATATAGTTTCGTGAAATCCTCACAACCCGTAAACTGTTAGTAGCACTTGTGGAAGGCTTCAGTTAGGTACAGTTTACAAAAGTTCAGTTAGGTAACAAAAGTTACAAATACTCTCTTAAGCTCGTCAATAATGGAAAGATCTGTGCTTATCGTCGCTTACCGATAATAAAAACTACTCTTACAATGAAGTAATACGTAACGTTATTCATATCTTCTACATATTAAAGATTGTAAGTAATAAATTTCTACATGTCATTAACATTAAAACGATCGATTTTGGGCGATTTAGAGCGAGATAATATGGTCCCATCCATAATAAACAATATACTTTTGCATTTGGAACTCGCCCGGGACATTTACCATCAAATAATAAGAGCCACTTGATGTTTGTAAACATCTTAGTTTGCAATATAAGAAAAAAGTAAATAAATATGTGATCGTGAAGAAACTTGGCAATCGAAATTATCTCGATCAATCGTTCTAATGTTAAAACATGCGTATTATATTACCTTAACTTTAAGATTGCAATAAAAATAATGCAACTTCAACAGGCAGGAGTCGAAATGCTAAGATTGAACAACGCATCGAAAACGACGCTGTGCAAGTGTCTTACTTAATTCTTCAAGTAAATGGCAGTTTCGCTAGCAATAATTTGTCTCCATATTACGGTGGACGGTGACAGGCGCTAAAACGTGGTGAGGCGAACCTAAGTACGTCATAGGAGAAGGCACTCCGGTAGACTGCCTGTTTAAGTCTGGCTCTACATTGTTGCCGACCACCAGCAGAGGTTCCACGAATGTCTGCTGCTCGGAATCGTCGTGTGGTGTCATCGTGCTGTAACCGTGATCGCTATCTCCGCCGGGCGGTCTTCTGTAATTGGTGGAGACCCTGTACGGTGATACCGGCGCGATATTGTCCCTCGCGAGGCAGTCCAAGTTGTTCTTCACCTGGTCCAATTCCGTGGGCTCTGGATCGCCCTCGATGTGCGTCATGCGCAACGTATCGGGTGAGGTATGTAGGTGTAAGCATTGATGCTCCAGGCTCGAGTGTACCGATCGCAGCCTGTAGCAGAAGAGGATGACACCTAGAATGAGAACCAACGCGAGGATTCCACCAGCCACCGGCCCGACTGATGGCCATTCTCGTGTCTCGATCTCGTCCGCCGATTGTGAATCTAGAAAAGTAGTTTCGTTATAAGACTATGGCTATTAGGAAACGAACGAGTATAATGGGAAGAAGGAAAGACGAACTCACTATAAGTGCCATCAGTGTAGGGTATCAAAGACCCGAATATTCCCTTGAAACATACGGACATGTCGGAGCAAAATGGATGTTGCAAAATAGTCTCGCCGTCAGAGTCGATATGACACCATTGACAATCCACGATGCCCAGACAGTCTTTTTCCGTGGTGTACGACTTGCAATCAACGGACGGGCATGATTTTATATTTACTGGCTGTATCCACGGAGTCTGTAGACTCGAACCTTGCTCGTATAAAGGCTGGCAGGAACTTAGATTGTCCGTATTCTGTTGTGTGCAGCTAGAAGTGTACAGCGAACACTCGCAGGGGCATTCGCAACCAGTTTGTTCCATGCTCTTACAGTTTAGACACGAATGATCCATCTGTGATGTTTAATGAAAAAAAATACATTAATTTTATGAAGAAATGTAAGAACAGAAACAAAATGCGATAAACCACGAGCTTACCGTGCTACAAGGACAGAAAGCTCTAAGCTGACTGCACTGTGTTGTCATATTGACAACTCCAATAAACAGGTTGGTGCCTGGTATAGCGGCTACTTGATATTTGACACAGTGCTCGCCATGTGCCATATTGGTGAGCACTTCGTCGAGCGACGTATTGAACTGATAATATCGTTGCACCGTGCCGTCTAAGTGATTAGCGCACGATTTCTTTTTCACGAACAATCCATGATTCAAGATGTCGTTAGCGATCAACAGTTCCTTGTGCGTCAAATGTTGCTGTTCTATCTTGCCTGTCGCCTCCAACAGCGAAGGGTGAGACACCAAGTAACCTTTATCATCCATCAGGAAGCACTTCACAGTCGCATAATTACAGAACGAAAACATATTCGACAGCTGTCTCGCGATGTAGCCCATGGAAACGTCCATGGCTAGGATAGCGATGACGTAATCGGCATTTGCATTTTTCGCTAGAGAGACCTTAACAGTTTGACTGAGAGTGATCACGTAACCTGATCCACCCGCGTCTAAATAAGGTGGAGTCAAGACTACTTTGTCGGGATGCTCCAGCGCTTTTCCGTACCACATCCGTCTTTTGGGGTCAAAACCAGAATCCAATACTAATCCCGGAAATATTTCCAACACGCCACTGACTGTACTGACAACATATCTGAAATAATAAATAGAATGAGCACATGCAGATACAATCCTGAGCTATTATTAGTGTGATCATGCAACGAAATTATTCACCTTCGTACTATAAATTTATTTATTAAACTTTCGGTATGTTGCTTTTTGAAATGTTCTAAAACTTGCGCTAAGGTCGCTACATCCGGCTTCACGGACGGATGCAAACCAGGATTGGCCAAGAGACCTGTGAGATCTTTTATGTACGCCATGTAACTTTGTACAGTCACAGCTGAACCAGTTTCCAACAATTTCAATTGCTCCATTGGAGACTGAAAACACCATGGTGAGAGATAAACTACCCCCGTTGCTAAAAAGAAAAAAGGAAAAAAAAAATCTTTCTCGATGTCTGTAAACGGCAACCTATTATATATATAATTAAACGAAAATGTTAATTTTCTTACAATAAGTGATAATTCTGTTTCTATAGACGCAGAGTGTGTCTTTGTTAACGATAGTTTGAAGCATCAGATCGAGACGATGATGTAATATGTCCATTGGTAGCGAAGGTACAGTTTTTGCAACGGGCAATACTGCTTCTTCAGTCGTCGATACTAAGCATATTATTAAATCTTCATAAATTAAATGCTTCCATCTGTACTGCCTCTGTACCATAAATTATAATATAATTTTCCCTTTTTATTAAATTGAATTTTTATTGCTGAATCATTTCATTTGTTGACTTACCTGCTCGCCCAACTTCGTTTTCGCACTTAAGACACCTTCGGTCTCGTCTATCATTTTCTCCACTAGTGTACTATCTATATTTTCAATATCTTGTAAATGCACTTTAAGCTGTTGCTCGATTACCGTCTCGGTCCTGGGGAAATTTTTATGCATCCAAACTACACCTTTGCTGTCGAAGAGTATAGCATGTATATCAGGACCAGCATTAAAATATGTTATGTCATCGAGAAGGTCGCGCAATTTCACGTCTAAAGACAGCAATGCCACATTCGTGATCTGTCCAATAGACAGTATCATCGTCTTGCTATATGGCTCAAAATATGGGTCTGATATGTGATAATCTTTCTTGCGCTGATCAGGACATTGCAAGCAAGAAAATAGCTTTCCTATTTCATATCCAAGGATATTTTGTGTTGGGAGAACTATGACACTGTCATTGCTTAGGGATTCTTTAATACCAAGATGTGATTGTTGTTCTAAAAATAAAATCTAATTTAAAAAATGCTTCTCTTATGATTATGAAAAAACCAATTAGTACATTCAATTTACCTGGAAGAATAAGTATTGTCTTGAAGTAAAATTTAAATATTTCTGAAATAGCATCAGGAACTGCTTGTATATTCAATGGATCCCTCAACCTGTTAGTTAAGTATATAATAACCACTTCATGTTTTAGATTTTGTGTTAATTTTCTCTCAAGTATTTTCCACACAAGCTCCATTTTTATTGTTTGATTAATATCTAAAGAAACATTAGGACCAATATATATATATATATATTTTTCTTTTTTTGTAAATATTACAAACACAATATGGATTACCTGTTCTGGTTAAACTATCAATATAACGGGCTAGCTGAAACTTATTTATATCTGTTGCTTTCAATAAGCCATCTTTGCAATATAAGGGAATAGTACTGGCAAGACCTACAACTGCCACATTATCAGTCTCGGACAACATATCTATAATAGTTTTGGCTGCCATTTGAGTCAAGGCAAAATCAGTTTCTGACATAAATGTGCCATGTTCCAGAAGCAGGATGACATTCTTTTCGCTACAATATTGAGATAACACAAGAGGGCCAATATTATGTGCCAATGTGGGTGGCCCACATATTGTACCTGGTTGGCTTACTGGCAGAATATGCAAATTTTTCCATTCTTGAAACCTTGTGCTTGTTGTGAGTACTGCAATCATAATTAGACTATACATGCAAGATATTACAATTATATTGCTTATATCTGACAATAAGAAATACCTGCTACAATTCGAGTGCACACATCTGAAACTTTATCCTGCATAATATTTAGACCAACCATTTGACTAGAATAAACGGAATAATCCTGTGTCTTACACAGGACAGGATGTATCGTGTTGTAACTCTGCTTGAGAACATCGATGTATGCCCTGAGTTTATTGTTGAATTTATCCACCAACGAGTTCAGTTTCACGATCAAGTTGCCGGATATTTGCGTGAACTCCATCTTATCTATCATCTCCTGGAAAGAATGCACACCGAGCTCCTCGGCGACGATGACGGACCGCAGCATTTTGGATACGTGTACAGCGATGTCTCGTAGACACATGCCGTTTAACGGCTCTGCTGGCACCTGTTTCCGCATGGGCCTCTCAAATTGACACTTGACGGTGGCATTGACACTGTCATGAGCGGCCACGTACAGGCTCATCAGTATCAACAGCCTCAGGATCAAACGCGGGATCTTGTTTACTGCCATTCCGGCGATGTCACGATGCTACCTCGCCGCCGAATACTATTCTTTTCGTCGTCAACTTCACAAATTCGCCGTAATATCACGATGATAACGACTCATACCGACGACCGACGCACATTTATAAGCTGTTCAAACGTCATACGATTTCGTTGCTTCACAATGCACTAAAGTTTGTTTGTCAGGAGGACTGCACGCCAAAACTTGTTGAATTTTTGTATAATGGTGGGACACGAAATATATATATACGAGGCACGTGTATAATCGCAGTTTGAATTAATCATTGCTCATAGAACGCCACCTTTTATTTACAGTACAGTCGGGTATAATAGAGTGCAATGAAGCGATCCGGTTATTGCATCAGATTGTACCATTACTGGTCATGTTCAGAGGAGAAAATTACTCCGCTATAACTGTTCACCACTCAGCAATAAATGTTCATGATTGGAGAATACTTTTAAATCTTTGGCAGGTCCGAACAGACGTACCAATCAGAGACGTTTACTACGGAACGGTAGCTGAGCAGTTTTTTTCGCTGAACGTGACCACTGTCTTATTACACTGCGTGTAGCTCCGAATAAAATCGATCTACCATCGACACAGATGTCTATACTATACTAGATTGCTAACTTCTCAAAAGAGCTGGGTCCCGCCCATTTTCCGGTTCGGCCATGAAGACCGCCAAGCATGGCGGCGGTGTGTATTTGTAGTGTGTATGTGAATACCCGATGCGTATGTAGTAGTGCGTGGTAGTGCGTATGTGACACCTGATGTGTCTACTACTATTTATGTTAGTAAAACTGCAAATCTACAAACGAGATAATGCCGAATAAGTATTGTAAATTTCAAAAATACGAACAAGAAAGAATATCATTTAAAGATGTGTGTATTAATAAGGTGTTGCTAATCTAAGTGTTTGGTAAAGGTTAAAATTAAATTGAATATATACAGTTCAAAATATGTCAAAGTATTTGTATTAATATTTTTTACATACATATAAAGAATAAAATGCAACTTATGTATTATTAAATAATATTAATTTTGTAAATTTGTGTCTGTTACTTGCAGGATTTCTATCTTTCGTTGTTTTTGTAAGTGAATACATTCTAATATTAATAATATTAATAATATTAACAATGTTTAATTGCAAGATAACCCTCACATATTACAAACCTCGAACATTTATTATATATAAATGTATTCTACTTACTTAAATAAGTGATATCCTTTTTTATTCGTATTATTATAATTAACAATGCAACATGTACTTGGCATTATCTCGTTTATATATTTGCAGTTTTACTAATTAAATAGCAGTAGATACGACACATCAGTGTAGACACATCAGGTATCACATACTTACAGTACAGCACTACTACACACGCATCGGATACTCACGTACGCACTAAAAACACACACCGCCACCATGTTTTGGCGGTTTTCATGGCCGAACCGGAAAATAGGCGGGACACAGCTCTTGTATAGGTCAAAGATCGAAGTTAGCAATCTAGTATAGTATAGACATCTGTGACCATCGACTGCTTTCATCCGCACCTCATACACTTTGTGCAGATAAATAGTTCCACTGCAGAAAGAAATGAATCACCGCGATTGGTCGACTCAGTTTCCGGAGTATCCCGCTTGTGGCGCTGTTCTCAGTTGCCTCCGTACTTAGTTATGACGCAGGTTACGAGTTGTGTTGTGCGCAGGGGCTCCTAACTCTCTACAGAGAGGAAGCTGAGAGCGGCCAACACGGCGTTTTCGGCGACACCGATTTTTCGCACTGGGAATGGGCGCTATCTGCATCCATTTTGAGAGGGGAACTACGATGCTACATCCACTTTTAGGTCTCGACGGTAAAACCTGCATCTGGTGGCTGTCCGTGCTACATCCACTTTCAGGCGGTTTATGTCCGTGCTACAACCATAATAGCGTACTTGACAAGCATGGTCTCGCGCATTGTTATTCATTTGTAACATGAATTAACATGTTAACATGCACAAAAAAAATAAGAATCGAGATTGCATATGATTAATATCATGAAGATTATATACGATTTATATCGATATATAAATATATGATAATAATATTTTGTGTGTACCCAAAATTATTTTTCCAAAATATTTCAGCGTTACGTTAGTATTTATTTATACTCCGGCAGGCGTTTTTAGCGCAGTTGTATCCGTGTGCATGTGTTGCATTGAAAGTGTGCGTGACATACGTGTGCATAAACGCACTCACACACACACACACACACACACACACACGTGTCATACGCAACAGATAGAATCTCAGGGTATATGTTTAAACATTTTCAATTGCCGTACGTTTCTATGTAAGAATGTAGTCGGCACACACACACAGAGAAACTGCTCCCATCTATCCGTCTGAGGTCCCTCCCTATGCTCGACTTGTTTTGACGAGCTAAGCGAAACAGAGAAAGAGAGGGAATGTGTTCGCTCCATCTCGCTCTGATTCGCAACGTTGCCGAGATTGTGCTTCCCGACACACGGCCGAGACTGACGTTTCACTCTAGGCGTGAATCCAACGAGATGATCAATAGCAATCGATTCCGACTAAACTCTTTATTTTGGACTTTATTTTGGTGTCAGAAACAGGCCTATATCTCTAGCCGTTTAGGAGATATCGAAGGTTAAAGTTTTCCCACCTTTCTCCGTTGATATCTCCGTTTCTACTGGTAGTAGAGAGTCGTCATTTATGGGAAAATGTAGGGGTTTGAGAGGACTTTATTTTGGTGCCAGAGACAGGCCTGTCTCTCTAGCCGTTTAGGAGATATCGAAGGTTAAAGATTTCCAATTTTTCTCCGTTGATATCTCCGCTTCTACTGGACGTAGAGAGTCGTCAATGTAGTCGAAAATGTAGGGTTTTGAGAGGACTTTAATTTGGTACCAGAGCCAGGCCTGTATCTCTAAGCGTTTAGGAGATATCGAAGATTAAAGTATTCCAACCTTTCTCCGTTGATATCTCCGCTTCTACTGGGAGTAGAGAGTCGCCATTTTCGGCAAAATGTAGGGTTTTGAAAGGACTTTAATTTGGTACCAGAGCCACGCCAGTATATCTAACCGTTTAGGAGATATCGAAGGTTAAAGTTTTCCAGCCATTCTCCGTCGATATCCAGCCTTCCTCCGTCGATATCTCCGCTTCTACTCGGAGTAGAGAGTCGTTCGTGTAGTCGAAAATGTAGGGTTTTGAGAGGACTTTAATTTGGTACCAGAGCCAGGCCTGTATCTCTAACCGTTTAGGAGATATCGAAGATTAAAGTATTCCAACCTTTCTCCGGTGATATCTCCGCTTCTACTGGGAGTAGAGAGTCGCCATTTACGGCAAAATGTAGGGTTTTGAAAGGACTTTAATTTGGTACCAGAGCCAGGCCTGTATCTCTAACCGTTTAGGAGATATCGAAGGTTAAAGTTTTCCAGCTATTCTCCGTCGATATCCAGCCTTCCTCCGTCGATATCTCCGCTTCTACTGGAAGTAGAGAGTCGTCCATGTAGTCGAAAATGTAGGGTTTTGAGAGGACTTTAATTTGGTACCAGAGCCAGGCCTGTATCTCTAACCGTTTAGGAGATATCGAAGATTAAAGTTTCCAACATTTCTCCGTTGATATCTCCGCTTCTACTGGGAGTAGAGAGTCCCCATTTACGGCAAAATGTAGGGTTTTGAAAGGACTTTAATTTGGTACAAGAGCCAGGCCTGTATATCTAACCGTTTAGGAGATATCGAAGGTTAAAGTTTTACAGCCATTCTCCGTCGATATCCAGCATTCCTCCGTCGGTATCTCCGCTTCTACTGGGAGTACAGAGTCGTCCATGTAGTCGAAAATGTAGGGTTTTGAGAGGACTTTAATTTGGTACCAGAGCCAGGCCTGTATCTCTAACCGTTTAGGAGATATCGAAGATTAAAGTATTCCAACCTTTCTCCGTTGATATCTCCGCTTCTACTGGGAGTAGAGAGTCGCCATTTTCGGCAAAATGTAGGGTTTTGAAAGGACTTTAATTTGGTACCAGAGCCACGCCAGTATATCTAACCGTTTAGGAGATATCGAAGGTTAAAGTTTTCCAGCCATTCTCCGTCGATATCCAGACTTCCTCCGTCGATATCTCCGCTTCTACTGGGAGTACAGAGTCGTCCATGTAGTCGAAAATGTAGGGTTTTGAGAGGACATTAATTTGGTACCAGAGCCAGGCCTGTATCTCTAACCGTTTAGGAGATATCGAAGATTAAAGTTTTCCAACCTTTCTCCGTTGATATCTCCGCTTCTACTGGGAGTAGAGAGTAGCCATTTACGGCAAAATGTAGGGTTTTGAAAGGACTTTAATTTGGTACCAGAGCCGGGCCTGTATATCTAACCGTTTAGGAGATATCGAAGGTTAAAGTTTTCCAGCCATTCTCCGTCGATATCCAGCCTTCCTCCGTCGATATCTCCGCTTCTACTGGGAGTAGAGAGTCGTCCATGTAGTCGAAAATGTAGGGTTTTGAGAGAACTTTAATTTGGTACCAGAGCCAGGCCTGTATCTCTAACCGTTTAGGAGATATCGAAGATTAAAGTATTCCAACCTTTCTCCGGTGATATCTCCGCTTCTACTGGGAGTAGAGAGTCGCCATTTACGGCAAAATGTAGGGTTTTGAAAGGATTTTAATTTGGTACCAGAGCCAGGCCTGTATCTCTAACCGTTTAGGAGATATCGAAGGTTAAAGTTTTCCAACCTTTCTCCGTCGATATCTCCGCTTCTACTGGGAGTAGAGAGTCGTCCATGTAGTCCAAAATGTAGGGTTTTGAAAGGGCTTTAATTTGGTACCTGTCCGAAGCCTGTATCTCTAACCGTTTAGGAGATATCGAAGGTTAAAGATTTCCAACCTTTCTCCGTCGATATCCAGTCTTCATCCGTCGATATCTCCGCTTCTACTGGGAGTAGAGAGTCGTCCACGTAGTCCAAAATGTAGGGTTTTGAAAGGGCTTTAATTTGGTACCTGTCCGAAGCCTGTATCTCTAACCGTTTAGGAGATATCGAAGGTTAAAGTTTTCTAACCTTTTCCGTCGATATCCAGCCTTCATTCGTCGATATCTCCGCTTCTATTGGGAGTAGAGGGTCGTCCATGTAGTCCAAAATGTAGGGTTTTGAAAGGGCTTTAATTTGGTACCTGTCCGAAGCCTGTATCTCTAACCGTTTAGGAGATATCGAAGGTTAAAGTTTTCTAACCTTTCTCCGTCGATATCCAGCCTTCATCCGTCGATATCTCCGCTTCTATTGGGAGTAGAGGGTCGTCATTGTAGTCCAAAATGTAGGGTTTTGAAAGGGCTTTAATTTGGTACCTGTCCGAAGCCTGTATCTCTAACCGTTTAGGAGATATCGAAGGTTAAAGTTTTCTAACCTTTCTCCGTCGATATCCAGCCTTCATTCGTCGATATCTCCGCTTCTATTGGGAGTAGAGGGTCGTCCATGTAGTCCAAAATGTAGGGTTTTGAAAGGGCTTTAATTTGGTACCTGTCCGAAGCCTGTATCTATAACCGTTTAGGAGATATCGAAAGTTAAAGTTTTCTAACCTTTCTCCGTCGATATCCAGCCTTCATCCGTCGATATCTCCGCTTCTATTGGGAGTAGAGGGTCGTCATTGTAGTCCAAAATGTAGGGTTTTGAAAGGGCTTTAATTTGGTACCTGTCCGAAGCCTGTATCTCTAACCGTTTAGGAGATATCGAAGGTTAAAGTTTTCTAACCTTTCTCCGTCGATATCCAGCCTTTGTCCGTCGATATCTCCGCTTCTATTGGGAGTAGAGGGTCGTCATTGTAGTCCAAAATGTAGGGTTTTGAAAGGGCTTTAATTTGGTACCTGTCCGAAGCCTGTATCTCTAACCGTTTAGGAGATATCGAAGGTTAAAGTTTTCCAACCTTTCTCCGTCGATATCTCCGCTTCTACTGGGAGTAGAGAGTCGTCCATGTAGTCCAAATGTAGGGTTTTGAAAGGGCTTTAATTTGGTACCTGTCCGAAGCCTGTATCTCTAACCGTTTAGGAGATATCGAAGGTTAAAGTTTTCTAACCTTTTTCCGTCGATATCCAGCCTTCATTCGTCGATATCTCCGCTTCTATTGGGAGTAGAGGGTCGTCATTGTAGTCCAAAATGTAGGGTTTTGAAAGGGCTTTAATTTGGTACCTGTCCGAAGCCTGTATCTCTAACCGTTTAGGAGATATCGAAGGTTAAAGTTTTCTAACCTTTCTCCGTCGATATCCAGCCTTCATCCGTCGATATCTCCGCTTCTATTGGGAGTAGAGGGTCGTCTTGTAGTCAAAATGTAGGGTTTTGAAAGGGCTTTAATTTGGTACCTGTCCGAAGCCTGTATCTCTAACCGTTTAGGAGATATCGAAGGTTAAGTTTTCTAACATTTCTCCGTCGATATCCAGCCTTCATTCGTCGATATCTCCGCTTCTATTGGGAGTAGAGTGTCGTACGTGTAGTCCAAAATGTAGGGTTTTGAAAGGGCTTTAATTTGGTACCTGTCCGAAGC